AGGTTTGTTATAAAAGTAGACAGGAGAAAATAAAATATGAGTGGCTTAAAAAAATTAAAAATCTATTTCTTTTTTTCTAATTTTCAAGGGGTCAAGAGGCAGGTAGCCCAGAGTAGGCATAGAACCCCTCACTAGAATCATGTTAGCTTTCTATTACTCTGACAAAATACTAGAGGGAATCAGCTTAAAAGAGGAAAGGTTTATTTTGGCCAATGTTTCAGAGGTTAACAATCTGGTATTCTCCCCCTATGGATGCGTGAAGCAAGAACTGAAATTAGGAACAACTAGTAGCTTCTGTCACTGAGATGTCCTCAGCCATCCTGTTATGAGACAACCTGAGTCTCATCAAACATGTGGCATCTGCCGGGACAGTCTAGGGAAGGACACCATGACATTGATTTACAACTAGCCATGTGCTTGGGACTGGTGCAAACTGCCTGAGAAGCAAAGGGCATTGTTAGCTGCCCCTTAATGGCACGTTTCCATTTCCGGCACAGTCCTTGCTGTTGTCACAGGTGACCTATTCTCTCCTCTGCCTAGCCACAAACTGCAAGTTAGCATCTTTCCTGCAGCAGCAATCTGCAGACCCTGCTGACTGCAGCATTCAAACCATCAGAGAAGCCAGCAAGGAGCAGCGATGGATCCTCATTAGCCATCCAGGCAACAGACACAAAGGAAGCCACATCTGAAATACATCCTTGAGTTACTTAGTCACTCTGTGGGGTCATTGCCTTGGACCAGCAGGCCACTGGATCTGAGAACAGAAAAGCAGTGGTTGGCAATTTTAGAGCAAAGGAAGAGGAATGGCTCTTTTTTGTGGAATGGTAAGAAGCAGACACTAATGCTAATCCTATCAGCAGCCTGCCCTTTGGCTAGGGACTGCGCAACACATTGCGGGGGCCAGCCTCCAGCACAGCACTGATGATCCTGGCTCTTGGGAACTGGTGCCCTTGAACAGGCCCATCTCTTTTTAAATTAGGACTGACCTCTGTGACAGACAGAATGCAGCAGGAGCAGTGGTGTGTGACTTCGGAGGTCTCATCATGTAGCCACTGCTACTTCTGCCTCCATCTCTATGGTTGACCTCGGTGGCAGGTACCAGGGCACCCTCCATTACCAGGCAAGTGCTCTACCATCAAGCTAAACTGGGACTCTCCATGTCTACTTTGCTTTTATATCATCATCCAGATGGGCACCTTCACCCGAAACTCTACCCGCTGTAATAGCTCTGAGTTAACTACTGCTGGGATGCCACTTCATATTGGTCCAGTTCTCAAAACCCTGAATACTATATTTTTAATTTCCCACAAATCCCCACTGCCAGTCCTCCCACACACACAATGCTTGCACATGCGTACACGCGCGCACACACACACACACACACACGTTTGTGTTTTTGCGCCCCATTCCGCCCATTATCACCACCTCCTACTCTGGTTGCCTCCTTTGCAGGCTTGATTGTGCTTTATGATCCATCCCTGGCTCGCCTCCTCCAATACCAGTCCCCAGCACCCTCTCCTTTTACTATTTCCATGGGGTGTTCTCTTCAGCGCTAGACAAACTACACCTCCTCCCAAAGCCCGCTTTCTGGATCCTTCAGGCTTCTAGAATCCCTCTAGACTGAAAGTCTCCAAGCAGAACAAAACCAAGGCAGAGCTGACTGGTGGTAAATCACAGCCCCTAAGAGCCCAGCTCACAAACACTGCTAACCAGAGTCGTCGGCCCTCAGACTGCACTGCGCCCAGATACATGGTTTGCGGGGTAGGAGGAAACATATGCCTGAATCAGCTAAGACCACAAAGGGTAACCACAGGAGCACCTGGCAAGACAGAGTGCAAGCGAGTGACAGAAGGCCCCAGTGCTGACAGCGGTGGCGATAAATGGTGTGGAATGCAATTAAAGATGGGAACAACGTGTGCACAGCAGACACACTGTACATGTGAACAAATGTGACAGGGGACAGCAGCCCTGTGACCTGCAGGAATGGTGCCCCCACCCCACTTCTATCCTTCTTCCACCTTCCCATATCTAGTGAAGACTAGGGAAAACAGCAGCTTCCTGGTCTGCCTTGTGAACCATCTGCCTCACCTCCTATGTGGCCATTCTGCAATTACCTGCCAGGAGCTACAGCTAAGGTGCCTTAGGGTGCAAGTATGCAGGGTCAAGGTGCAAAGCAGGGCAAGCGACAACAGGAGAGGTGGGTGGGGAGCATAACCATAGTGGAGGCCACATCCAACTGCACATCTTCTGCGGACACTGTGTGGGCTTGTCTTCGGGCCAGCCATGGTGCAGAGTCCCCACCTGTTGTGACTCTGGGTGTCACAGGTCTGAGTGCTGGACATCCTAGGACTGATGCTGAAGGCAGTAGCCAGGAGTAGCCCTCCTGTTGGTGAAGGCTTTTTAGACCGCATGGACTCCTATGATCTGACAAGCCTGTCCTAAGTGTGTCTGGGCAAAAGTGAGTTAGATGATGTGACTTGCCCAGTGGAAGCATGTTAGTGACCAACCACCAGTTACAGCAGCTCCCAGGGCTGCAGAGTACTCTAGAGGATCAATTCTGGAGGCTCCAAAATAAGTGGCTTGGCCATTTTATTGTCCACAATAATGGCCATGGTGACTCCTGCCTTAAAGATTATTCTACCATTACCAGTCCTCCTACTCTTGATATCTCCCTCCCCTCCCCTCCTTTTTCCTCCCTTCCCTCTCCTCCCCTCCACTCCCCTCACTTTTCCTGTCCCCTCCTCTCTCCTCCCCTTCTCTCTTCTTCTATCCTCTCTTCTCCTTCTTTCTCCTTCTGCTTCCCCCACCTCACCCCCACCCCCACCCCCACCCCCTTTCAAGATAAAGTCTAGCTATGTTGCCCAGGCTTGTCTTGAACTCCTGGACTCAAGTAATTCTGCCCCTACAGCCTCCTACATAACTTAGACTTTGCACATATACCATGGTGCCTGGTCTGGACCTGTTTTGCTTCCTGGCTTCTGCACTCTCTTGGTGTCTCTGCTCATCTTACGGGCAGACCTGTCAATCTCTATCCCAACAGCACCCTTGCTGGACAGAACCCTTGTGGCTATGGCTGGCTTAGAGTCTTTGGAATGCTTCTTTAGGTCAAGTGCTGAATGCCCAAGTCAACTTGGCTTCAGTGAGTGACCCAGTCACCTGGCACGAAGAGTGAAAACCTGTTTGTAAACAGCTACTTTTCATTACCTTTAGAAGGCTTGAGTGTCATGTCTCATAACTTATAGTAAATTATATTATGTAATAATATAGTAAATTATAATATAGTAAATTACATTCAGAATTCTCTTTTAAAAGGAGGGAAAAATCAACAAAAATAAGTAAAAACATCAAATACAATTCTCAGATATATGGAAAGTGGACACACTCAAAATGGTTCTTTTTCTGTAAAAATTAGGGTTGTATTTAGCTGCAAGTAACAGGATACCAATTAAGAGTAGTTTAAATATTCTTACACATGAAGTATGGAGATTTGTGATTATTGGTATTGAGTTACTTCAACTCTGTGCAACTTTGGGGAATTTTTATTTGTATTTAAAATTGAAACAGTTCACAGTGAACTATGGGGTAGAGTGTAGAAGCCTGCACTTCCCTATAAAGGACACCTTCCAATACCCTAGTGGGGACCTGAAATGACAAATAGTACCTTCTCCCTCCTATACTTGACTCCATAAATACATATCTATGATAAAGTATCATTTACAAATCAAGGTTCTGTGGGGTGTGGTAGGCAGTGAATGGGCTCAGAATAGCTGGGAGTGGTGGGGCGCCCTGCAATGCCAGCAATCTGGGCCACTGCAGGGGAGGCCTGGGATTGAGCCCAGCCAAGAGCCTTGGGGACTTGGCAGACTCTTGTCTCAGGGAGAGCCCTGGGTTCAACCCTCAGTCCTGGAGAAATTAAAGGCTCAGGACAGTAAAGCCGCAGCATGGGGTAGGTATGCGGGCGTCAAGTGCACAAAGGCTGCTTCATCCTCAGGATGGGGCCTCAGTGCTGCGGAGGGGTGGGGATGAACTGAGGGCTTCCCTGCGGCTCTTCACTGCTGTGCCATTCAGGTAACAACCCAGGTTTCGTCCAGCCCAGCCCAGCCATCTCCCCTCCCCTCTCCTCCTCTCCTATGTCCCCCTTGCCTTGCATTTCCTTCTCTGCCCTCTCCAACTTCTGGTCCTCCACTCTCCTCCTCTCCCCTCCCATCTTCACTCCTCCCATCCCCTACTATACTCTTCTACCCCTCCTCCTCCCACCTTCTGTCCTCTTCTCCCCCTCCCCTTTCCTTCCCTAGGAACCTGCTGCCACTTAGCCTTGGCCACCCTCAACTCCTGGGAACCCTCATATCCTCAAATGTTGCTGTCTGGTGAAAAGCTACTGCTTTTTCTTGGAAGATACATCTGTCCTTTCCCATGGCTAGTTTAGAAGGTGTCTAAGTCCTTGCAGTTTGTGGCTCCAAGGTCTCTGCCCTTGCTGCCCCGCTATGCTCTCTCCTGATCACCACGGACTCCCGCAGGACACTTGATCCTTTGCTGCCAAGATGGACCCCCCTGTCTCCTGATGATCACTTGGCATCCCAGCCTGGCTCTGGCCATAATGAATCTCTGAGCAGAACCCAGGTGGCCAGGCAGAGGGACCAAAGTCTCTTCCAGCAGATGCATGTCCTGCAGCCCCAAGAGCACCTGTAGAAAGGTGACCCTCCAAACCCAAAGCTAAACCCAAAGGGTCAGAGAGGCAGGGTGGTGGGGGCCTCTCATTAGGCATTCCCATCAGGCTGCTTGGGCTGTAGGATCTTTATCACAAACCATTATAAGGGCCAGGGAGATGGCTCAGTAGAATAAGTGCTTGCCTGGCAAGTGCAAGGGTCTGAGTTCAATCCAAAAAAGCTGTTGTAAATCGTTTTTGGCACACAGGGGGAAGGAGCCGTGCAGGGGATCAAACCCAAGATCTTTGCACTGCGCTACACTCCCAGCCCTTTAAAAAATATTTATTTTGCTAAGTTGAATGAGGGGCCCTTAGAGGGGACTTCGGGCATCCTTCTTTAGTTCCAGCACTGGTTCCCCCAAGGCAGAAGAGTGGGTCCTGACGTGGTAGCTTCTGTGCCTTTCCTGCCGGTGGGCCAGGTGCCGCAGCTGCCTCCGGATGGCCCACAGCACCAGGTACACTTCCCGCAGCAGTTCAGCCTCAGGTGTGTCCAGGCGGGACGAAGTCCTCACTTGGGAGGAAACGGAGGCCGAGCTGACAGTTGACTGTAAGAGAAAGAGGCACAGCGGGTGGCGCCACCTGCAGAAAGTCTGCAGGGGCTCCGCTAGCTCCTCCTCTTTCCTCAGGCAGGCTGAGGCAGTCCCTCCTCCAGGAACCCAACTCCACCCGCATTAGGAGTTCATCTTCTCTACCCTTGTGTTTGTTCCATTCTAGTGTGTGTGCGTGTGTGTTACTGCAGATTAGATCTCCAACCTTTTCACCTATTTTGCACCTTGAGATAGGTTCTCCCTTGGTTGCCCAGGCTGGATTCAAGCCTGTGGTCCTCCTGTCTCAGCCTCCTTGAGTGCAGGAATTACAGGTGTGCCAACATGGAGGGCAACCACATGACACTTGGTCTCCAGCCTAAGCTCTCTCCTGACCTCAGACCCTTATGTCCCATCGTCTCCACGACACATCCATCACTGTCCTACCAGTACCTCAGTTCATCTTGTGCCAGGGACCTAAACTTGTCACCTTGTTCCCAGGGTCTGCTGCTGCTCCTCTGTTCTCCTGCCTGGCCTCTGTCTTTCCCTTTCCTTGTGACCTCTTCCCAATCCATCTCCTGACCCCCAAATTCTCCCCTTAAACAGTGTTCAGATCTCTTTACTTGCTTTGCCCAAGGATGCCTCCCCAAGCCCAGAACATTCTTCTCTGTTAACCTGGATTGCACCAGCCTCCAGGGGATCTTCCGGTCTTTTCCCTTGCCCCTTGCTGAACACTCTCCCCACCCCACCTGGAGATTTTTTCTTTTTAGTGACAATGGGGCTGGAAACTGGGATCCACCCTCTACCCACAGAACTACAATTCAACCACCACCCCACATTTATTTACTTATTTATTTTTGAGGCAGGTTTTTGCTAGGATACTAAGGCTGGACTCGGGCCTGAGCTCCTCCGGCCTCGGCACTGCAGGGTACTTGGTTCATAGCTGTGTGCTGTCATGGCCAGCTTCCATGCTCTTCGTAGAGTGGCTTGCTGTTTTTCACTCTTACTAACCATATGCCATTTCTCAGTCATAATTCAGTCATGTAGCTCTTTGCCTCAAATGTCTTCCTGCCCGGTGCCAGTTGGCCCCTAGTGCTCCATTCCGTCCATTCCCATCCCATGTGGGGCCAGCTCTGCATACCCCTGTTGTTCCTCTTTCATTGAACACTCCTTCCTTTTCCTCTACCTCCCCTAACAACACCCTAAGCCCAGTGACTTCTTTTGGCCAAGTTCATCCTTCTTCCAGTAGGAAGGCTTTCTCTGGGCTGCTTGAGATGCCCTTCCCTGGTTGCCCACAGCCCTGGTCCCTTCTGCATCAGACCTCTCAGGACACCAGCAACAGTGCCTACTGACTGTGGCCCCCTAGCCCGGGGAAACCTAGGTCTTCATATCCTCAGCATCAGGACCAAGGAGTAGAAGGAAGAGACAGCTGTTAAGAGTTGGATGCAAGGGACTCACCTTCCAACGGCACATGTGCCAGCTGGACTGCAGAGCAGAGAACATGATCATGGATGCTGACCGGACAGCTGTCCGGGGTGCACGCAGCAGGGAACGGCTCTCAGGGCCCAGCCCCATCTGGGTCCTTTCTGTGGGACTGGCCAGCACACAAGCCTCAGCCACCTTGGAGGACTGCTGTTCCCTGGGGAGCTTAGCTTCTCCAGGAGACTTAGTCAGCTTGCAGGCCTCCCGATGGGGGGGAGACTTCCCCACCTCCTTCAACACACGTTTCTTAAAGCCAGCATGTTTCAAGATGGTCTGCTTCATTTGGCATCTCCAGAACACAACCTAAGTGAAACAAGACATGGATGCCATGGGGGGGGGGGAAGGAGGGGGAAGAAGGGGACAGGGGCAGCCAAAGGGAAAGAGGCCCAGAGAGAGGGTGCAATATCCGCCCAGCCTCTTCCTCTCAAGCCCTCCCCAGTCCCTTGTGCCTCTGTCACTCTCCTCCTCTCCCTCCCCACTCTCTTTCTCTGTTTCTTGTAATTTTTCTCCCTCCTCTCCTTTTTCTTTCTCTTCCTCTTCTTCCTCCTTCTTGTCTGCAGTGGTAAGAATTAAACTCAGGACCTGGGCACTGAACTACTTTTTTAAAAAAATGTATTTCGTTGTTACAGGGTCTCACTATGCAGCTCAGACTTGTGGTGATCCTCTTACTTTCAGCCTCCCCAGTGTTGGGATTACAGGCACGCACGTAATACTACGCCCAGCCTCTGGCTGGCTCAGCCTGCCCTGGGCGTGGGGCCAGCACAGCATGTGGTGCCAGGCATCAGTAATTGAACCATGCTTGCCAAAGCTTGCCTAAGCAGGCGCTTTAGTCTGCTGAACTCTTTCTCCAGCCTCAGCACTGAACTACTGAACTACATCTCCAGCCTCCTTTCTATTTTTCTGATAGTGTCTCACTGAGTCACTGGGTGCTCCAGATTGTGTTCCAGCTTGGCGTTGTCTTCCATCGACCTCCTGGAGTGCTGGGATTAGGGGCCTGTGCACTTCTCCTCAGTCTTCTGTCTCTCTTATCCTACCTCCTCCCACTCTGTCTTGTGCGACCACAAGAGTCCAGGTGGAGAGGAATAGCACGGTAGTCATTGACCAAGACTCTCATCTCAGCACCATGAGGACCAGGCAGTGTGTGAGACTCACCCAACAGGTCATCTTTTGCCAAATCTGCTTAACGAATCTGAAGAACCGCACTGCCACACCCATAGCTACGGAGATGAAGGGGTAAGTGCACAGTAGCCTTTGACGTGGGCAGAGGGACAGACACTGGCCAGTGGCAGCCAACAGGGAGGTCTTGTGGGAGCTGATGAATTTTCAGCACAGAATATACAATCCAAGGGGACATACCCTTCGGCACCTTGTCCCACCCAGGCCCTTCCTTCCCTCCCTGGGATAGGAGAAGAGTCCCAGTGGATAAGAACCCCCAGTGAGCCAAAGTTCTAGCCCATTGTGAGGCCCCAATTCCAGAGGCTTCATCCTCCTGGGCACCACATGTCTGCCAGCCCCACCCTCAGGCATGCTGAGCCAGCGACCAAGACCAGTGTGGCAATGCATGCCTATAATCCCGGGGCTGGGGAGGCTGGAAACAGGAGGATCACTATGAGTCCGAGCTGCATAGTGAGACCCTGTACCAAATACATAAAGAAAAATAAAACTGTAATGAAGAACAACATTTTCTTAAAAAAACACATTTTAAAAATCTATTACAGACTGAACTCCTTGTGACTCATGTTGAGAATCCAAGTGATCTCTACCCTGCTTAATGCAACACACCCACTGATCACACTCTTTCAGGCAGCAGGGATGTTGGGTTGCTCCAAAGGATTCTAAACTTCCAACTTCTTCTGCTTTCTTGTCCTAGACTAGTGGCAGTTTCCTATCCAGCTTTGAGTACTCCCACTACATCATACTGAGTTCCTAACGAGGACTTCTGGGGAAAAAGAAAATCTTGGACCTTATGTAAGCAAAATTTAGCCATTCTTAAATTCCTCAGCATATTCTGTAAGGTTAAATGTACAGGTTCAAATCAGCAATGATGTACTAGCTTTCCACCACCCTAACAAAATACCTGAGAATAACAATTTAAGGGAGGGAAGGTTTCATTTGGCTATAGTTTCAGCCTACAGTAGATTGGCTTCATTGTTTTTCAGCCTGTGGTGATGGAGAACTTTGGCGGGCGGGGGGGGGGCATGTGCTGGTGGATGGACTCAGGGTGGATCTCCTCCTGAGTTTTTTTGAGGCCTCACATCTCTGGAAACACTTTCACAGTTACCTTGTTTTTGGTCTTTTTCAATTTTACTGTATTTTTTTGGTTGAATTATTTTTTAGGGGAGGTTTATTTTTTGTTTTTGGTGCCGAGGACCAAACCCAGGGCTTCCAGCTTGCTAGGCAAGCATTCTACCGCTAAGCCAAATCCCCAGTCTTAGAACATCATCACAGACACACCCAGAAGTGTGTTTTACTAATGTCCTAGGTGTTTTTCAATCCAGTCAAACCCACAAGATTAACTACCCATCAGTGCTAATCGAGTGTGGGTTTGGGCAATGCCTACTTTTTTTTTTTTTTTTTTTGTCTTGTTTTTGTCTTGCCTTGTAGCATTGGGGATTGAACCCAGGAAGGTCTGCTTTACATGCCCAGCCCCTTTTAATTTTTTATTTTGAAGTATGGTCTTGCTAGCCAGGTATGGTGGTCCACATCTATAACCCCAATACTAAGGAGGCTCAGGCAAGAGGATCACAAGTTTGAGGCCCATCTGGGGTACCTTGTGAGTTTAAGGTCAGGGTGGATCTGTCTCAAAAAAAAAAAAAAGTCTTCTTAAGTTGTCTAGGCTGGTTTCAAACTTGACCTAGCCTCTTGTTTCATTTTGTTTTGTTTTGTTGAGACCAAGTCTCACTATGTAGTTTCAGCAGCTCTCAAACTCACTGTGTGGCTCCCAAGTGCTGAGATGCAGGCACGCACCACTACACCTGGCAACTTAGCCTCTTGAATACCTAGGACTACACGTGTGTTATACTCTTTCTGGCCTAGAGCCACACCTCCTGTCTTTGAGGGGGCTGTGAACTTCTGGACTCAATGATCTTCTTGCCTTAGCCTCTCATGTAGCTCCAATTATGCAAGCTTCAAGTTGCATGCTACCATTCCTGACTCCTAAACCTTTTCTTGGATACCAGCTGAATGAATGAACAACTTCCGCAGGAGCAGAGGTGGGGAGTGGCTCCAGGAAACATTACAGAAAAGGGGAGCTATTTCATCCAGGCTCAATAGATTGCATGAGGTAGACTGTGGCTCATCAGGTGAGCCATCTGGGTGGAATGCTGAGTAACAGTCAAGAGTCTCCAGCTTTCTGAGATGCTGCTGCTCCATCTCTAGGGCAGAGAACTACCCTCACCTTCCACACAGGGCGCTTGGGAATGAGACATGAGGTTCACAAGGCAGAAATGTTGGTTGCTGCTGAGGAAATGATTCTGTAACGCGCATTCTCTGGAACAAAGGGCTGTCAGCACAGGGCCTTAGAACCAAATTTTTTTTTCCAAGTTGATGAATTATTTTAATTGTTTTTTTAATAAAAATTGAATTCTTCCAGAAATCATTTTCCTTCATATCCAATGTCCTCGATTTAACCACGACCCCACTTGTCTCTTCCTAAAGTACCAATACAACACAATCTTGCTTGCCTTAGCGGGTGTGTTAAAGACAGTATTTTTGGAGAGAACAATAGGAAAACACTGTTGTCAGGTTGACATTTGTTGCTCAGATTTTTTCAGGCTGCTGATGTCTTTATGCAAACAACTTAGAAATGGAATATGGATTCTGGCACCTTATGAGTTTTTTTTTTCTTTCCAATTTGCATAGGGGGAGGCCAGTAGAAAGTGTGATGGCAATCAGATTTCACTTATAATGAGACAATGAAGTGTTTTTGATGGTGGATGGGTGTTTAAATAATCATGAGAGCAGCTGCCAGCTCCTTTCTTTCTTGGTCTAATTAGGTGCTGTTTTCTCTGCTGAGAATATTCAAAGGGAATCACACCTCAATTCTTCCTGTGTCAAAAGTCTGTCTGAAAGATGACTTCTTATCATCCACAGAGAAACAGCACATTTATTTTTCTGTCTGCCTGTGACACCACTTCAGTAAAAGGTTGCTTGCTTTTGCAGCAGTCTGGGTTCAGCCTGTTGTGTAGGTGAGGGCTGTTTCTTCTAGGGATTAGGAGAATTATTGCCAGTGTGGGCAGATGCCATCAACAGACAAAGAGTCTCAGCGGGAAGCAAGGAAAGGAAGGCATGCATTGGGGCAAATAGAGAAGCTCTGTAAGTAATCCACTTACAGATTGAACATAGTAACAGACCAAGTGCAAAAGCAATCCAATAGTGCAGACTGCAGGTTTCCCTTCCAGCAGTATGGTTGTGCTTTCTCTGTTTCCAAAGGTTCTGGCAGCCTGGGGAGAAAGAGGGAAGGAGGAGGAGGAGGAAGAGGAGGAGGAGGAAGAGGAGGAAGAGAGCTTTGAAATAGAGGCACAACCCTACTCCGCCTCCAGGATGTCATGGGAAGTAGCAGTCTTGGAAGGGACTCCGGCTATTGATTAGAGCCAGGCCAGGAGACTCTCCAGTATCTTCAGACAATATTGCTCACGGAGCTCTCTCATGTATCCAGCACAGGACTAGGGGGCACTCAAAGGAATCATAATCATAATCTCCAACATCTGCAATGTATGGTTTGCAAAGTGTTTTCCTTATGATGTATCATTCTGCCTCCCAGCAAGCCCAAAGGGTATGAAAGGATATGGAAATTATTTTCCTGAAATGGAATGTGAAAGAATACAATCTCATAAGAGTAATAACTGCTCCTAGAGCCCTTGCTGTCTGGGAGGCTGAGGCAAGAAGACTGCAAGTTCAAACCTAGCCTGGGCAAGTTAGTGACTATGTGAGGCTGTCCCAAAGGAAATTAAAAAGATGCTTCAGGTGTAGCTCAGTGGAAAGACTCTGGGCTCCACACAGAGTTGCAAAAAATGAAAACAAAAACAAAAAACCTACCACAACAAAAAGCCCCAAACAAAAAAAGGCTTATATTTATTGAGCACTAACCAGGCTTATTAACCAAATTGCCATGTTTAATTCATCTCAGATCAGAAAATGGATGCTCACGGAGGTTAATTGCCTAGGTCACACCAGGAGGACACAGTGGAGCCAAGACTCCAAAGTAGCTGCAGCAGCTCCTGCAGTCTCCTGAATCACCAGGCCTGTGTGGTGACACTTAGGCATCTCCATCCCCCATAGACAGACATGCAATAGGCATTAAGGGCCTATTGTGTGCCTGTGGTGGCTCTAGACATGGAGGATGCCCTGGTTCATTTATTGACTGTTTCAGTGTTTTCTGGGCATTCCCTACATACCAGGTACTGTTTCGTACTTGGAGGACAACAGGGAAAAAACAAAACTCTCTACTGCCAGTGCTTACCTTCCACCAGGCAGGTAGGAAACAGTATGGTGATTAGAAAGTGATAATTCTTTGTGACATAAAGAAGCCTTAGGGAAAAGGGAACCCTTCTCCACTGTTCGTGGGAGTGTAGACTGGTGCAACCATTATGGAAATCAGTGTGGAGACTCCTTAGAAAACTAGGACTGGAAATTCCATTCAAGCCTGCTATCCCCTTACTGGGAATTTTCCCAGAGGAACTGAAAGCGTCATATCATAGTGATATATGCGTACCTATGTTTATAGCAGCACAATTTGT